GGGCTTATATTCGAAAGTTTACGGTATTTGGGACCAAAATATTTTGATATCTGCCATTTTGTCTAATAATTAAATTTAATAACGCCACAACAAGGATGGACGGATTGATGGTTTTAAAACTAATAAATAATATAAATGGAATGCTTATACATAGCCTGAGTTTTAATTTAAAATATTTAGTATATTACAAATATCACTATAAGTGTTGAAATAACCCAAAAATTGCTCAAGAAAGGTTGTGACGTCACGCATATCCGACGATGTATCCATTGTTGGATATGCGTGACGTCACAACTTTTCTTCAGCAATTTTTCGGGATAATGATTTTGTTTGAAATGATTTGGTAACATTGAGGGTAATATCTTTTATACCAAGAACCATAAAGAAAATCTGTAATAAGATTCTGAAATTTAATCTCTTTTTCAAACGGGGTAAATTTAGTTTTTATTGTTATTTCCCTTTAACCCAAATAGTGTTATTTCTATCGTCAGTTTAACTATAGGAATTTTATCTCATTTTTTACCATAGTTGTTAAAGTGCAATTTTAAAGGATTCGCGTAGACATTCAGCCGGAATTGGAAATGCAAACAATATTTATAAATTCATTCTGTTATTTGCAATTAGCTGATCCTAAATCTCAGCAGAAGCGTACCTTTATTTTTGTCGCCGCTGCGATTGGGTTGATAACCATGATCATGTTAATCGCATCAAGTTTTGTGATGTACAAAAGAAAGAAACTCTATGGTGGCTTTTATCTTTTCTCATTTCCTCCTTTACCGGACTACATTGCGATGTTGGATGCTAATAAAGGTATTCAAGAACAAGTTCACAAGCTACCGTTTATACCGGAATGGGAATTTCCTCGAGAAAGGATAACATTTGGTACGTAACTACAGTATAACTTTTACACTTCGCAATACATTTATTATCATTGAACAAGTGATCTTAATCTTAGCGTACTATATATAGAGATTACTTCATGGTTGGTGAGCGCGTACGATTTTTATTCACGAGTGGATTATTACAAGTGAACGAGTAAGTGCAGCGAACGAGTGAGCTTGTAATAATTTACAAGTGAATAAAAATCGTATTCGCGAACCAACCATGATGCTATTTGTTTATTATATAAGTTCTGCATGAGATTTCATTCACGATAACAAAGTTTTAATGTTATTAATTTCTATGTATTTAAATTTTTCAAAGTTTTTAATGCCTTCTTAAATGCTAAGTCGTTGATAATGCTTGCAGCCGGGTAGTTTTTTTCTTAAGATGTCGCTCGAAGATTGCTAATATAGACTTGGTTATGATCGAATTGATAAACTCAGACACGTACTCATTCAGTCCTGTTGTCAGAATATTTTTCTTCATTCTTGGTTTCCATAAACAAGTGTAATACAGTAATAGTTTTACATCTCGTTCGGATTTTTTGAGGTACGAGCCTTATTTTCTTGTTCTGAAATAAAGTTGTCAACAGAAACGGCGTCCGTAAATCACGCAGCCATTTTGATTTTCAAATTGAAATATGTGTCGCGCCAAAAAATTTGTGGTGGAAAACGAACGTATTTTCCAGTACGATCATTTTTCACTAGTGAAAATTAAAAACATTGTTCGTCCAATCAGATAGCCTGCGTAGCAGGCGGTATTCTCGGGCACGAGAGAATGGGAAGCTTGAAATACCGCCTGCCCAAAAACTACACATTCTGAGTTCTCCCCGGCAGCTGGGTGCCGGAGCATTCTGATTGGTCAGAATGTTGATTTTCAATTTTTGATTGACAGGAGTAAAGAATTAGAATAATTAGTGCTAATTTTAGAAGTTACTGTTGCCCAACCTCGTACCCAGGGCCTTTGCGCGGTTCAGAGGCTACCAGAGCCTCTGAACCGCGCAAAGGCCCTGGGTACGAGGTTGACTGTTGCCGTATTTATAATATAAACTATTGTTATTTTCGTAATTGATACCGATATATCGAGTGATGGCATACACTAACCAAAAAATAACGAATGTATTAATTAAGAATTAAGCGTTGAATTCTTTAATCTTTATCTGGAATCGGAAATCGCTTCG